TGATTTTGAAGTTCTAATTATTTAAAAGAATTTAAAAAGTGTTGGAGTGATGCCAAGTAATTTAATTCTAATGTAAAACATTTTTACTGATCTACATGATTTCGTATTTTGAAGGATATGACCCCAAGTTTTGTGGATTCACTAATCATTATTTTATTCATTCAACTTGTCTAGTATTTATTGAGGACCTGTTAGGTACTGTACATAGTTTTTGTATTCCAGCTCACTGGAAGATAGCCATATTTGTTCCCATTCAAAAAAAAGGTGACCTGACAGAGTGTGGAAGTTATCAAACAATATCACTAATATTACATGCAAGCAAGATCTCTGCTGAAACAGAGAACTGCGAGATGTGTAGGCTGGGTTTAGGAGAGGTCGTGGCTTGAGAGAGATAGCCAATGTTGGATGGATCTTGGCTGACAGCAGAGAGTATCAATATCTATCTGTGGTTCACTGGCGATGCAAAGGCAGTTGACTGTGTGGATCACAACAAACTGTGGCTGACTCTGAGAAGAAAAAGAACTCCAGAACACCTGATTCTGCTTATGTGAAACCTGTAATTGGGCGAGTAGGTAGTTATCAGAACAGAACAAGGAAACACTGTATGTTTAAAACTTAGGAAAGGTGTACTCCAGGGATGCATTCTATCTCCATACATTTTCAATCAATATACAAAAGATATCCAGGAGGCTGGGCTCTATAAGGAGAAACGTGGCATTAGGATTGGAAGAAAACTCTTCAACAACCTGTCTTATGCAGAGGACACAACCTTGCTTGCTGAATCTGAGGAAGACATGAGACACTTGCTGCAGAAGGTCAAGGACTGCAGTCTTTAATATTGATTGAAGCTCAACATTAAAAAAACAAGGATTCTCACCATTGGGTCACTTGGCAACATCATGATAGACAGTGAAGAAACTGAGTTTGTTAACAGCTTCAGCTTGCTGGACTCCACAATCAGCACTCTTGGTAGCAGCCAGGAAATCAAAAGACACATTGCATTGGGAAAATCTGCTGTCGGGGTCCTCTCCAAGTATACTGAAGAGCAATGATGTCAGTCAAGAGGTACACCTGATCCAGGGCATGGTCTTCGTAATTACTTGCTATGCCTTGGAAATCTGGACACAATGATAGAAGAATTGATGCCTGTGAGAAAGTACCATGGACTTCTAGGAGAACAAACAGGTTCATCCAGGAGAGGGTGAAACCAGGCTGCTTCTTGGAGGAAAGGATTTTGAAGTTCTGTCTGACATACTTTGGACATGTCAGTCCTTGGAGGAGGACATCGTGCTTGGAAGTGTGGAGGGATAGTGCAAAAGAGGAAGACCCTGGATGAGATGGATTGACTCAGTGACTGGAATAATGAGAGTAGCTGTTTCAGTAACATTGAGGCTCGCTCAAGATAGAGCAGAGTTCAGAGCCATGTACAAAGGGTCACTAAGAGTGGCAAATGATTCTATGGCACATAACAACATTAGTGCAGCCCAAGTGTCTGCATATGTGGAGCTTTTATTTTTATTATGTGAACATAGGTATATAATAAAATATACACACAAATAAGGATATAATTATATCATTCTCCTCCAAGATACTGATGTGATAATTTAAAAATAAATATTATGCCTAGTTGTTTTTGGTGGTGTTCTTCGGTGCCATCAAGTTGAGTAGGGTTCATAGCAACCGTATGAACAAAAGATCTGAACCCTATTTTATCCTGTACCATCCTCATAGTTCCTGACACACAAGAGCCCATTGCTGCAGTCACTGTGTCAATCCACCTGGTTGAGGGTCTTCTTCTCCTTTGCTGACACTCCACCTTCGCAGCATCATGTTCCTTTCCAAGAAATAACCCCTCTTAGCAACATGTCCAAAGTATGAGAGGCCAAGCCTCACCATTCTTGCCTCCAACAAGCTCTCTGACTGCACCCTCTCCAAAACATAGCTGTTTGTTCTCTTGGCTTTCCATGGGATATTCAGTGCTCTTCTTCAAGACCACAGTTCAAAGGTGTCAATTCTTCTGCTGTATTCATTAGAAAGACGATGGCCTGAATCGTACATACCTTAGTCCTCAAACTGACATCATTACTCCTCAATAATTTGGAGAGGTCCCTAACTGCAGATTTTCCCAGTGTAATGCATTTCCTTATTTCCTAACTGCTGGTACCTGGGGCATTAACTGTGGGTCCAAGTAAGATGAAGCTGTTGACAGTTTCAATCTCCTCCCCATCCATCATGACACTGCCTATCAGTCCAGTGGTAAGAATCTTTGTTTTAATCTTTGTTTACTTGGCATTGAGATGCAATCCATACCAAAATCTGTGTTCCTTGATCTTCTGCAACAAGTGCTTCAAGTTCTCTTCACTTTCAGCATGCAAGGTTGTGCCATCTGTATAATTCAGGTTACTGGTTACTGATGAGTGGCCCTCCAATCCTAATGCCACACTCCTCTTCAGAGAGTCCAGCTCCTTGAATAATTTGCTCAACGTTCAGATTGAATAGATATGGTGAGAGAATACAACCCTGATGCACTCCCTTCTCAATTTTAATCCATGCAGTGTGCCCCTGCTCTGTTTGCACCTCCTGGTCAGCATTATGAAGATTGTTTCGGTTGTTATGTGCCATCGAGTCAGTTCTGACTCAAAGCAACCCCATGTACAACCTAGCATTTCTCAAATTTATGAGACTACAGAATCCATTTTAAGTTATTTAATAATTAATATAAGGAATGTGCTTTTGAGCAATGTAGTCTTAGCACTGACTGGGTTTGTTACGGAAGAGGAGCTCGAGTGGTGTGGTGATGTAGACTGCTGAGAGCTGAGAAGCTAAGCCAAAGACCATATGTCTCTGGTGCTTTGAATCCACCAGCAATTCCTCAGGAGAAAGATGAGCAGTCTTTTCCTATTAGGATTTACAGCCTCAGAACCCAATGGTGAGTTGTTCTGAGCTGGTACCATCACACAACGTGAAGAGGGCCAGTGTCTTCTATCTTAGGATCTCACACTGACTCTGGATGTGCTGTAACATGCAGAAAGATCACTTGTTTATTCTTAAGTCAATTCTGACTACAGACAGCCCTATAGGACAGAACTCCCAATGGACTGAGTTTTCACAGAAACTGATTACAAGGTCTTTCCTCCCAGGAACAAAAAAAAACCCAGTTGATCTTTTGTTTAGTAGCACTGTGCTTTAGCCAGGAACACCTAGGAAGAGGAATTTCCTTCAGTTCACCCTGTTGTTTTAACCAGAAAAGGCCTGGTAGTGCATTGGTTAATGTGTGGCTCCTACTCAAAGGACTGGGGGCTCTTATTTACCAGCTGCTCCCCAGGGTAGGGGGAAGAGAAGAGGTGGCCCACCCATGTAAATATTTACAGCCTTGAAAGCTGTATGGGACAATCCTACTCTGTCCTATAGGGTTACTGTGAGTCAGATGGCAATGGATTTGTTTTCATCCTTTGATCCAAAGAAAGGACCAGGACTTAGGCAAAGAAAAAAAAAAAAAACGCAAGTTTAATCAAAGAGTACATTCTAACACATCTTGGGAGCAAAATCAGGAAAATTTCATTTCAACTGAATCAATTCTGACTCAGAATAACTTTGTGGGACAGAATAAAACTGCCTCATGGAGTTTCCAAGGCTCTAAATCCTTCCAGAAGGGGACTGTCATATCTGCCTCCAACAGAGAAGCCAGCGGTTCAGATCACACCTTTTTTTTTATTTATTTTTTTATTATTATTATTTTGTGTGTGTGTATCATCAAACCGGATCTGACTGGTATAGGAGGAGATTGCCCCTCCTTCTCCAGCAGAGCATCTGGTGGATTCGAACCGCATACCTCTGGGACTGGAGAGATCACACCTTTTATTTAGCAGCCAAGTTCTTTGATCACTGGACCACCAACATTCCTTTAAATGAAACCTGTTTTTAGGAGTCATCCAGTAGACTGCAACTCATAGTGATTCTGTAATGAAAGTAATCCTCTTTAATTTTTTACTAGTGATTTTGAAGCCTTTTAAAAGTGTTCATTTCTTTGTTTTCCTTTTTAGGCATTTGCAAGGTTCTGATGTCTTCACCAGCCAGGCAAACAAGGTACTTGGACATTCTGATTCTAAAGTAACTGCATCCCCTTACTACAGAGCCCTTGGAGTCTGTGGGTGTGAAACCTGTCTGTGGCTGCTTGGTCGGGCCATCCAAACATGAAACTGTTAGTGATATTTTGAAGTCTTTGAGACAAAAGCCCAGCTTACTAAAGAACTTTGGTTCAGCAGAGAGACAGGGAGGTACAGTGAACAGAGAATCAAAAGCCTGGAAATTTGCTGCTGAGAATAAATGCTAGCTACTCCCTGAGGTGATTTGTCTCTGCACTCCACTCTCTACAGATGTTAGAGCCTCTTTCTGAGCGAGGACCCGAGGTTCTTTGGTAGCACTTTGATATCCTGCTCGAATTCAATATGTGAAATGGAGGCGTCTCTCTGTGACTTGGAGCCCACAGCAGGCTTTGAAGTCTGATCCAATTTTTGCTGCCTACTATTTGATGTTGAAAGGATGAAATGAAGAAAATGTACAGTTTTTGCCAGTAACTCTGCTGAGCATATGTAAGATTAAAAAAACAAAATCCTTTGGATGATGTACTTAGAAATGTTAAGTAGATTAATACCTTCCTATAGGTCCCCCTCCCCCCCAGATCAAACTTAAGTATAGGAGAAAATCAACACAGGGGTGTTTTTATATTCTGGATTATAATTAATTAAACACAGAGCTGGTTGACATGTTCAGAGAAAGAAAAAAATGAAGGGAGCAAAAGGTGTGGGAACTTTGCTAATTGCCCTAAGGAAAGGCCCTTCATTTAATTCTAATGCACACCGTGAATCCTGTGTCCTTAGCTTCCTCCCTTACAATCAGGGTTTGGGTCTTTGTCCTCAGTTAAGTGGAAGCTATGTCCTTACAGCTGCTTCATCAGGGGCTATAACTAATGCTTCTTCTCTTATGGGATCTTTCTGAAGCTCTCAGTTTCTGGGACTGATCTGGTGACTTCTCAAACATGCCACACTGCTCCAGTTCACCAAGGCCAGAATCTCGGGGGGGACCCTCAAAAGCCTGGTAAGAGCATTTTGAATTACATGATGCTTCTACTATCTGCATGATTGCATCCTTTTTAATAGGTTATTTTGAAAGGACTGTCTAGAAGGCAGGACTCCCAACAATAACAGGACCTAATGTTATAGGCAAGTTCAAGTTTGGGAAGTCATAGGCTGGAAGTAAAACTTGTATTAAAGTTAGCAATTTATAGCTTACCCTTGTCCCCTACTTTTTGGTGGAAAGTAAATGAATATAAATGGACATATTTCTCCCTTCATTTGTGAGAACCTCAAATTAGAAAATGGTTTGAATACTGTATTTTATAAAAGATAGATAGCTGCTAACCATGTGGCCTTATCCACGTCATTCCCCTGCCATAACTGTCCTCGCCGACCCTCATCACTCATCAGAATGCCCCCCATTCTTCGTGGTCCAGTGACTCCTTCATCTATGATTGTAACTTTTGTCATAATACCTAGCATTGTATGTATTATTCAGAACCAGAATTGACAAGCCAGTAAAAAATATTGATTAGAGTTCATGTCTGACCTGTTGACAGTAGACCGTTCTTACCACCAGAACACAACCATCCTACCATGTTCCTTTGGGGAAAAGATCATTCTGGCCCCTTTTTCACATCCTATTCAATAGTATGTGTTACAAGGCAATGTTTGGGTCAGTGTGTGAATGTAATCAATATTTCTGGAAGATTAAAAAAAACTATGACTATAAAAATGTTAACAAACAAGAAGTTAAGACAATCTGAGCCATTTCAGGGAAAGAAATCTTTTCAAATTAAAATACTGTTGTTCCATCAATGTTATATCATCTTTGTTCAATCAACGTTATATCTTCTGTTTATCTGAAAAAATAATTTCTTAGGTGTCCTCAAATTCCTCCAAAGTCTGTGCTTTACTGCTAAAGTATTACAACACAGAGTGCAAAATGCATAATAATTATAACCTTTAGTCTATATGGAACTTTAACTCTTAGAGAAATAAAAGATGATCAGACTAAAAGCGGAACTTTTAAAATGAATTTGTAGTAAGTGATAAATTTGTCAAAAGGAATATTTTCCTTGTAGGCCAGTAGTTTTCAGGAATAAATCTAGGAGTGGTGCAAGAGAAGAGTATGGGGATGGTATAATGGAATAGAATCTATCATACAAGAGTTAGATTGACATTCTCTTCTATCCACACAGTCAATCTCTGCCTTCTGATTGGGGTGTTTATACCATTTATATTTAATGGGACTGCTGTTATGTTTCGGTTTAAATCTATCATCTTGCTGCTTGTTTTCTACTTGTCTCATCTTTGTTTTCTTTTCGTATTCCGCTTTAAAGCAATAAAATTTTTAAAAATACAAGGAAAATATCTGTTTGGGTCACTAAAGACATAGGTTCTATAGACAGACAGATCTCCTGGATTCAAATCTCTGCTCAAAGTAAAGGTTTGATAGATGTCAGCTGCTGCTTTCATGTACATTGTTATTAATATTATACAAATGATATTTCCTTTATTTTATTAAAGTGAATATGAATAACACATGAAGAAATAAAGGTCCTATTGTAAGGCATTAAGCTTTGGTGGCATAGTCCAGAGAGAGTGAAAAATAAAACTTGAAAAAGCTAGACAGAAAACTATCAGAGAAAGCAAGCTGAAGTATTTTCTAATCAAAAGACAAAAAGTGTTAAGAGTTCATCTTGTCAGAAGTGGAAAACTTGTGAGACTGGGAAAAACAAAGCATTTCCATTGTTTCCAGTTCTCACAAACTTCACTATAGATTGTTGTTGTTGTTGTTAAGTGTCATCGAGTCGCAGGCGACTCATAGCGACCCTATGAAGGAGAGTCCTCGATGCTTGGGTGCCTTTCAGCCTCTCTCCAGGTTCATACGGTTTCTGGAGGCAAGCTATTATGGAAGTGGATGCCACTCCTCCTTCCACGCTTGTTTTAATCGGGGAGCTCCACCCCACTCTCAGTCCACATTGGGTAGCCAACCATTAACGCATTTGACACATCCGTGTCACAGTGTTCAGCCTCACAGCAACCACAAGTGACCATGGGATGGCAACTTGTACACCAGGGCTATATGACCTAGAGGAATGTCTGAACAAAAACAATGAAAAGACAGGCCCGAGGGCTGCAGATTAAAAGTCACCCACCTTTGGCTTGGTAGCATCACTTTCTGTCCACTGGGCCAGCTGATCTCTCTCTCTCACTATAGATTACATTTTAATTAATAACAATTAGAGGAAAAAAGATACTTGCTGGATTGTAATAATTTCTTCTACTCTTTTGGAAAATATCCCCAAGAGCCAAAGGTGTTAACAATTTACACATCTCATTTAATGTACGTAGTTTGTGGGCCTTTTTCTCTTACAGTTGCCCTTTTCTTCTAATCTAAAGGCCTTTCTAGTGAGTCTGCCTCCATCTGCCTTACTTCCTTTTACACTCCTGAAAACACCCTTCCACATAGTCTCTCTGCTGCCATTATTGTCCTCCTTCAACGTTTCCTAGGCATAGATGCTGCGGAGTTACTGCGAGCACAGCCCTGATCATGACCCTCTATTCCTCCACGTGTGTCAGTGACTCTTCATCATCCCAGGATAAACTCTAAGCTTCTTGGATGACATTCAAGTCTCTCTCTGTCCTGGTCCTACTCAATCGTCCTACCTCCATCTTTGCTGATCTCTCTTTTTCACTTAGTGATTCATGCTGCTCTCTGCTATAAATGTCCTGCCTCCCTGTTATCTCATCAAAATCTTCCCTGTTTGTCCAGGGATGCCCTCTTCTCAATGATGCCCTCTTCTGTGTGCCTAACTTTTCATATAATAGTTGTCCTATCCTGCCTTGTATTATAGTTATTTTTAGGAATCTACTATAATTCTAAATTCCTTTATGATAAAATTTATATACACAAAGTTTTTCATTTTAACCATTTTTAAGTATATTATTCAGTGACTTTAATTATATTCACTATTAGAGCTGGATATATAAGAATGACAGGAGAATTGATGCCGTTGAACTCTGATGTTGGAAAATAGTACTGAATATCCCATGGACAGACTAAAGAACAAACATATGTTTTAAAGAAGGGAATGCAAAGATGATAAAACTTCATCTCACATAGTTTGGGCATAAAGCTAGCACAGGCTGTTCCTTGGAGAGGGCCGTCATGCTTGTGAAGGTGGAGGGACAGTGAAAGAGAGGAAGACCCTCAACCAGGTGAACTGACACAGTGACTTCAGCAATAGGGTCAAGTGTGTCAGAGATTGTGAGGATGGCATGGAACAGGACAGGGTTCAAATCTGTTGTTCATAGGGTTGTACTAGATTTGGTACCTGAAACAAGTTATGATACACTCATAACGATTCTTTCCTGAAAGATTTTTATCATCTTAACCAGACACTCCAAGCTCTCAGCAATAACTCTTTCCTCCACTCCTCTCTCTGCCCCTGGTAGCCATCTATTGTATTTAAACTCTGTGGTACCGTATCTTTTCATTTATAAATGTCTTTCATACTATAGACTGGTATCTCAAGTTGAATCCATGCAAATCCAAAGCCATGATAAAATATCATGGAAGAAACAATGCAATGAAACACTATTTGTGTGAGCAAACCAGAGAAAAGTTCTAAACTCTATTTCTAACATTCCTGAAATGAGAACAGATGCCTATTCTCATTCTTTTATTGCCATCAAGTCAGGAGCAACAGCTGATCCTCCTTTGGCTTTCTGAGGCTGTAAATCACATGGGAAGATATTGCCCATGTTCCTCCCACAGAGCTGCTAGTGGATTCAAACTACCAGCGAGGTATGGTCTTCCAGTGTCCAGCATATCTCCCTATGTACTTTGTCAACAGAGCTCCCTAGATGTGTAGTGTTGTTGTGAACCACTGAGTTGGAACCAACCCATACCTGAACCCTCCAGTGAGTTTTCAAAGGCAGTAAGTCACATGGGAGGAGATTCCCCATCTTTCTCCAATGGAATAGCTAGCTAGTGGATTTGAACCATGTGCCTTTAGGATTGTAAAAAACTCACCCTAAAACAGTGTAACCAGTTAAATTAAGCTAACCTGTTTGGTTTTGTTCCTGTTATTTTGAACAAGGCGGGGGTGGGGTGGGGAAGAAACTACAGGCAGTAAAAAAAGAATTGTAAATAAAATTCTTCTTGACCTTAAAAAATAACAAAGGTAAACCAAAGAGGTCAGCCACAGTTTGTTATGATCTACACAGTCAAATGCCTTTGCATAATCAATGAAACACAGATAGACATTCTTCTGGTATTCACTGTTAAGATCCATCTAACATTAGCTACCATATCCTTAGTACCACAACCCCTTCTACACCCAGCCTGGACTTCTGTCAGTTCTCTGCTGATGGGCTGTTCCAGTTGTTTTTGGATAATCTTCAGTAGAATCTTGCTTGCATGTGAAAATCAATGATGTTGAAGTTTCCACACTCTGTTGGGTCACCCTTCTTTGGAATGGGAACAAATACGGATCTCTTCCAGTCAGTTGGCCAAGTGTTTGTTCTCCAGATTTCTTGGCACAACTTGGTGAGCACATCCACGGCAGCATCTATTATCTGAAATACGTCAATTGGTATACCATCTATTCCAGAGGCCTTATTTTTTGCTATTTCCTTCAAAGCAGATTGAACTTCTTCCTTCATCACCATAGGCTCTTGCTCATATGGTGTTTCATTAAATTCTTCTGTGTCTGCCAATTCCTTTTGATACACTGACTCAGTATATACTTTCTATCTTCTTTTAATACTTTCTGGATCATTTAATATTCTGCCTAAAGCATCTTTGATTATAGCAACTCAAGGTTTGAATTTGTTCTTCAGTTCCTTGAGCTTAAGAAATGCTGAGTGTGTTTTATTGGCCCTTTTGATTTTCTGACTCCAACTCCTTGCACATTTCATTATAATATTTTACTTTGTCTTCCCACGCTGCCTTTCGGAATCTTCTGTTCATCTCTTTAGTATCTTGAATTCTTCCTTCTGCTTTGGCTTCTC